GTCCCCAGCCCCATTCCCAGTGTCCCCAGCCCTGTCCCATGTCCCCAGCCCTGTCCCGTGTCCCCAGCCCCATTCCCAGTGTCCCCAGTGTCCCCAGCCCTGTCCCGTGTCCCCAGCCCCACTCCCAGTGTCCCCAGGGTCCCCTCTCACGTGTCCACCAGCAGCACCGAGTGTCCCCAGCGCCGGGCCCGGGCCAGCTCCAGCAGGTACCGGGGGTCGCTGCTGGGCAGCTCCAGGCTGTCCACCACGTGCAGCTCGTCCTGCGTGACACCGGGGACTCTGCCACGCTGTCCCCAGCCCCGGCCGGCCCCCGGCCCCCCGGCCACCCCCGTACCTGCATCAGCTTCACGCTCAGGGCCACCTTCAGCCCCAGCACCCGCACCCGCATGGGCAGCATGTAGAAGTAGCTGGTGGGGCCCCGCGGGCCGTGGGCAATGCCACCTGCCAGGAGGGGACACGGTGACATCCCCGGGCAGGGGACACCTTCCCCGGCCCAGACTGAGGGGAGCAGCCAGGCCTGGTGTCCCCAGAGTGGTTCCTGATGTCCCCAGGGCGTCCCCAGAGTGGCCCAGGATGTCCCCAGGAACCCCAAAGCAGGGACAGCCAGGCCTGGTGTCCCCAGAGTGGTTGCTGATGTCCCCAGGATGTCCCCACGATGGTCCTGGGTGTCCCCAGGGTGTCCCAGAGACCCCAAAGCAAGGGCACCAAACCCTGATGTCTCCAGGGCAGTCCAAGATATCCCCAGGATGTCCACAGGCTGTCCCCATCCCCGTGTCCCCGTCCCCAACCCCATGTCCCCATCCCCAGCCCCATGTGTCCCTGTCCCCAAGCTATCCCCAGGCTGTCCCCAGCCCTGTGTCCCCATCCTCAGCCCCATGTGTCCCTGTCCCCAAGCTGTCCCCAGGCTGTCCCCATCCCTGTGTGTCCCTGTCCCTGTCCCCAGGCTGTCCCCATCCCTGTGTGTCCCTGTCCCTGTCCCCAGGCTGTCCCCAGCCTGTCCCTGTGTGTCCCCAGCCCCTCCCCAGGCTGTCCCCAGCCCCATGTCCCCATCCCCAGCCCCTCCCCATCCCATCCCCAGGCTGTCCCCATCCCTGTGTGTCCCTGTCCCTGTCCCCAGGCTGTCCCCATCCCTGTGTGTCCCTGTCCCTGTCCCCAGGCTGTCCCCAGCCTGTCCCTGTGTGTCCCCAGCCCCTCCCCAGGCTGTCCCCAGCCCCATGTCCCCATCCCCAGCCCCTCCCCATCCCATCCCCAGGCTGTCCCCATCCCTGTGTGTCCCTGTCCCTGTCCCCAGGCTGTCCCCATCCCTGTGTGTCCCTGTCCCTGTCCCCAGGCTGTCCCCAGCCTGTCCCTGTGTGTCCCCAGCCCCTCCCCAGGCTGTCCCCAGCCCCATGTCCCCATCCCCAGCCCCTCCCCATCCCATCCCCAGGCTGTCCCCATCCCTGTGTGTCCCTGTCCCTGTCCCCAGGCTGTCCCCATCCCTGTGTGTCCCTGTCCCTGTCCCCAGGCTGTCCCCAGCCTGTCCCTGTGTGTCCCCAGCCCCTCCCCAGGCTGTCCCCAGCCCCATGTCCCCATCCCCAGCCCCTCCCCATCCCATCCCCAGGCTGTCCCCATCCCTGTGTGTCCCTGTCCCTGTCCCCAGGCTGTCCCCATCCCTGTGTGTCCCTGTCCCTGTCCCCAGGCTGTCCCCAGCCTGTCCCTGTGTGTCCCCAGCCCCTCCCCAGGCTGTCCCCAGCCCCATGTCCCCATCCCCAGCCCCTCCCCATCCCATCCCCAGGCTGTCCCCATCCCTGTGTGTCCCTGTCCCTGTCCCCAGGCTGTCCCCATCCCTGTGTGTCCCTGTCCCTGTCCCCAGGCTGTCCCCAGCCTGTCCCTGTGTGTCCCCAGCCCCTCCCCAGGCTGTCCCCAGCCCCATGTCCCCATCCCCAGCCCCTCCCCATCCCATCCCCAGGCTGTCCCCATCCCTGTGTGTCCCTGTCCCTGTCCCCAGGCTGTCCCCATCCCTGTGTGTCCCTGTCCCTGTCCCCAGGCTGTCCCCAGCCTGTCCCTGTGTGTCCCCAGCCCCTCCCCAGGCTGTCCCCAGCGCCCCCTCCCCACACTCACAATCCTCTTGTAGTTCCTCTGCCACGTGGCCACCGCGTGCAGGATGTCCAGCCTGGGGACAGGGGGACGCGGGGGGGACACTCACCCAGAGCCCCCCGGGGGTGTCCCCAGCGTCCCCAGAGCCCCCCCCGGGGGTCCCCACCTGGGGCTGACGGCGAAGACATCGGGGTGCAGGTCGGCCAGGCCCCGCAGCGTGTCCTCGGGGTGACGCAGGGACTCCACCCAGGCCTGCACCGGGGACAGCGGGGACAGCACGGGGACACGGCAGCTCCGCAGCACCGGGGACGGCGCCGGGGGCTCCACTGGGGACAAGGGGACAGTGGGGATGGGGACCCTCACAGGGGGGCGGGGTCCTGGCATCCCCCAAGGAACAAGCAGCCAGGTCTGATGTCCCCAGGGTCATTCAGATGTCCCCGACCCCGTGGTGGCACTGTCCACCACGTCCCCACGATGGTCCCTGCTGTCCCCAGCCCCATGGCCACCCCAACCCCGCTGTCCCCAGGGTGTCCCCAGCCCCTCACTCACCCTTGCGGGGCTCGGGGGCCGCGGGCGGGGCCGGGGGCGCCGTCGTGAACTGCGGGACAGCGACATTGGGGACAATGACCGGGGGCTGGACCAACCACGGGCTGAGGGGAGGGGGGACACGACCCCCGCCCCCCCCCAGCCCGGCTCCTGGGCCC